CTTCTTTCTTCTAGCTTTTTTAGTTGCATGCCCAACTTATTGATCTCTTCTTTCTCTATTTTATTCATGTAAGCATCTAGAGATACCAAATTTCCTCTAAGAACTGCTTTGGCTGCATCCCACAAGTTTTGGTATGTTGTCTCATTACTGTCATTCTGTTTGACCAAGTTATTGTTTCTATGATTTGTTGTTTGCCTCACTCATTCTTTAGGATTAGATTAGTTTCCATGGACCTTTATTACACATAATTTTTATTGCATACTGATCTGAGAAGGATGCATTTAATATTTCTGCCTTTCTGAATAAGATTTTATGCCCTAATACATGGTCAATTTTTGCATAGGTACCAGTACCACTGAGAAAAAAGGTATATTCCTTTCTACCCTTATTTAATTTTCTCTGGAAGTCTTTTATATCTAAATTTTCTAAAATTCTGTTCATCTCCTTAACTTCTTATTTATTTTGTGGTTAGATTCATCTAGTTCTGAGAAGCGGAGGTTGAGGTCCCTCACTAGCATAGTTTTGCTATTTCTTCCTGTAACTCACTTGACTTCTCTAAGAATTTGGATGCTATAACCACTTGGTGCACACATGTTTAGTATTAATATTACTTCATTGTCTATGGTACCTTTTAGCAAGAGGTAGTTTCCTTCCTTATCTCTTTTAATTAGATCTATTTTTGCTTTCGCTTTGTCTGATATCAGGATTTCTCCCTCAGCTTTTTTTTACTTCAGCTGAGTCATAATATATTTTGCTCCAGCCTTTTACCTTTACTCTGTGTGCATCTCTCTGCTTTAAATGTACTTCTTGTAAACAACATATGGTAGGATTCTGTTTTTTAATCCACTCTACTATCTACTTCCATTTTATGGGAGAGTTCATCTTATTCACATTCACAGTTATGATTACTGTGTCTTTCTCTCCATCCTATTTCCCCAACATTTATACTTTTTCTCTCTCCTTTCACCCTTTCCCTCCTCACCAGTGTTTTGCTTCTCACCCCTACCTCCCTTTATCTTCCTTCCCTTCTATCCACCCTCTCCCTTTTCTTTCCCCTTTCTCATCCTACTTCCCTATAGAGTAAGATAGATTTCTATAACTAACTGAATGTGCATATTATTCCCTCTTTGAGCCAAATCTGATGAGAGTAAGGTTCAAACAATGCTCACCCCCTCCCTTCTTTCCCTCTATTGTAATTGGCCTTTGTGCCTCTTCCTGTGGTGTAATTTACCCAATTCTGCCTACTCCTCTCCTCTTTTCCCAGTACAATCCTTTTTTCACCCCTTATTTATTTTTATCATCACCTCAAATTCAAATTATACCCACACCCTCTGTCTGTATATACCCATTCTAAATGTCATAATAAAGATACAGTTCTCAAGAGTTACAAGTATCATCTTCCCTTGTAGGGATGTAAACAGTTTGACCTTATTGAATAACATGTTTCTTTTTTTTCCTTTCCTGTTTAACTTTTTATGCTTTTCTTGAATCTTATATTTGAAGATCAAAGTTTCTCTTCAGCTCTGGTTTTCTTCATCAGGAATGATTGAAAGTCCCCTATTTCATTGTATGTCCATCTTTTCCCCTGAAAGATTGTACTCAATTTTGCTGGATAGTTGATTCTTGGTTATAATCCAAGTTCCATTGCCTTTCAGAATATCATATTCCAGGCCCTTTGATCCTTTAATGCAGAAGCTGCTAAGTCCTATGTAATCCTGACTGTGGTTCCACAATACTTAGTTTTTTTTCTTTCTGGCTGCTTGCAGTACTTTCTCCTTGACCTGGTAATTCTGGAATTTGGCTACAATATTCCTTGGAGTTTTCATTTTGGGATCTCTTTCAGGAGGTGACAGGTGGATTCTTTCAATGATTATTTTACCCTCTGGTTCTAGAATATCAGGGCAATTTTCCTTGATAATTTCTTGAAAGATGCTGTCCAGGCTCTTTTTTGATCATGGCTTTCAGGTAATCTAATAGTTCTTAAATTATCTCTTCTGGATCAATTTTCTAGGTCAGCTGTTTTTCCAATGAGGTACTTTACATTTTCTTCTATTTTTTCATTCTTTTGATTTTGTTTTGACTGATTCTTTGTGTCTCAGAGAGTCATTAGCTTCTACTTGTCCAATTCTAATTTTTAAGGAATTATTTTCTTCAGTTAGCTTTTGTACTTCCTTTTTCATTTGGCCAATTCTACTTTTTAAGGAGTTGTTTTCTTCAGTCAATTTTTGTCCTTCCTTTTTCCAAGCTGTTGGCTCTTTCTTGCATACCTCTCTTTTCTTTCCTCAATTTTCTTCTGTCTCTCTTATTTGACTTTTAAAATCCTTCTTGAGCTCTTCCAAGAAGGTTTTTTGGGCTTGATACTAATTCATATTCCTCTTTGGGGTTTCAGATGTAGGTAAATTGACAATGTTGTCCTCTTCTGAGATTGTGTTTTGATCTTCCCTGTCACCATAAAAGTTCTCTATGGTCAAGGTTCTTTTTTGCTTTTTGCTCATCTTGTTTGCCTATTTCCTAGGCTCTCCTGCTGGAACACAGGGGGCACTGTCCCAAGCTTTTTGTGCTGGGGCCTCAGGTGCTAGCAGCTGGAGGCTGTAGGGGTCTGGCAGTTTACCTGGTGCTAAGCAGGGATCCTAATGGTGGTATCTTGTGTGTGCTGAGGCCAGGTGGGTTTTTCTTTGTTTCCCTGGGGCAACATTTCAAGCACGTGGAGATCTGGCCCCTGCAGGACGCCTGATTGCCCTGGGCTGTGCTGAAGCACCTGGATGTCCAGCAGCCAGGAGATGCCTGACTGCCGTTGATTGCACGGAAGCAAGTGAAGGTCTGGCTGCTGGAGGATGCCTGCCCGCCCAGAGCTGCACTGATGTTGCTGGGTGTTTTCCATGGCAGCAGTGGACACTGAATCATTAGGCTGGGCTTGGGACCACTTTGTAAGCAATAAGGGGAGAATGAGGCTGAATTCAACATCTTCTGCATCCCTTGGTTGTGGCTGATGGAGACTGACAAAATCTCAGAGTTCAATAGTCCAATTTATGAACTGTTTCTACAACATCCTCTATAATGGATAATTCAGCCTGTATTGGAAGGCCTCCAGTGAAGGGAAACCTTCCACCTCCTAAGGTGGTTTATTCCACTACTGGATTGTTCTAATTGTTGGGAAAATATTATCAGGCCTAGATTTGTCTCTCTGGACCTTCCACCTAGGGCTCCTGGATCTGCCTTTCATACGAAGAAGAGCTGGTCCAATCCTTCTTCAATATGAGCCCTTTAAATGTTTATAGCTAGCTCTCATCTCTTCTCCAGTTCTTTCAACCAATCCTCATGGGGATGGTGACCAGTCCCTTCTCTAACCCAGTTGCCCTCCAGCATCAGACTGTTTGCAAAGAGATAATAAATTAAAACCAGCCCAGCTAACCAGTGCCACTAACAGATGCCATAATTAATTGTGGAGTCCTATCAGTTCACAATGCTTGTACATAGCCTAATTCTATCTGTAGTGTTTCCCCACACCAACCTATCTAAATACACTGATATTAAACCAACCTTCCTCAAACACTGTTTCCATCACATAGTGCCAGGACTTAAGGAACTAATATTAACAACATCTAAAGCTCGCATTAACTTCATCTCTAAGACTTTATTGCCTCTACAACTTAACCTCTCATCTTCCTTCATAATTCTAAATCTGCTTCTCAGTGTTTTACAGTAGATAACTGCTTATATGGTTTGATTTCAGGGAGCCCCCTGCTCTGCAAAATCTCCCATTTTTCTGACTGATGCCTTGCATTTTCTTAAAAATGATTTGAGAAGGCAAAGCCTTCTAATACACAATCAGAGATAAGGCTTAAAATGCAAACATACCAATAATAATGACAATAACAATAATTCTTTAAGTTTTGCAAAGCAATTTCCCCCAACAATCCTATAAAATCCACTGTACTGCCAATTTTAGAGATGAGAAAACTGAGTTTCAAATGACTTGCCCAAGGTTATACATCTAGTAAGCATCAGAATTGGACTTTAAACCTAGCTCTTTCCTAATTTCAGGTGCAATGGTCTTTCTAGTATATTATCCTCCCTCTCTGAAAAGGGCAACATAGATCATACTAACTAAATCAAAGGGTACAAATAACTATTCCTCTACTTCAGAATGCCGACAGGATAACGTCCAAATTCCCCAACCTGGCACCTATCTGCCTTGCCAGAGTTCTCTCCCATTAACCCCCTCCCCTCATGGGAAACCTCTATTTCAGTCAAACCAGTTAACTGGCTTGTATCATGAACCTGCCCTGTGCTATTCATCCTATTCTTCTTTTCAAGAATGCCTTCTGCCCTTTCTTCCTCTCCATCTATCACTACCCTTCTTCAAGTTGCATCTTTCTCTGGAAATTTTCCTGATCAGTTGCCAAGCACTAATCTATCTTGTTATCAAAATATTCCATGCTCAGCATCAAGTGTTGATCTACTTTCTAAGTAGATCTTAGGCAGTGCACTTAGGTCAGTCACATGAGTAACAACAGAGTTCCCCTTTATCAATTCCCACCCATGAAAATCAGTTGGTGTCTCCTCTGGGGCTATCTGTAGGCCACACTGCCCCAGTTTCACATGGTATAGAATCCAAAAGCCAAATTAGATTGAGCCTCAATCATCCCATTATCTTGTTATAACCTAGTTGTGGCTTAGATATCTTTTGCCTATGTCAGTCTTACTGACCCTAAAACATAGCCAAGCATTTAGCCAAGGTAAAAGGCAACAAAACAAAAATCTTTGCTACTGGACCTAGGGTTTTAATGAAAAATAGAGAAACACTGGAGGAAGAAAAGAAAGTTACAAAAATGGTTCTCAAAATTTAGACAAAAAATAGTTGGGCAAACTTTATAATTAATTAGTCCATTCATAGCACTTGTAACATCCAAGAAAAAAGTGAAACTCTAGGAATAATCCACTGAAATAAAATTCAATTTTTAAAATGCTGATCATACTATAAAATTTACTAAATTTACCATGGTTGCTGTCTTTCCCCCTTCAGGCTCTGACTTGGTTCTTCAAGTGTATCATCTTTAGACATTCCTGGATTTATCACTGCTTTAGCATCTGCAGCTTTTACCCCCATAGCTAACTGATTTAAGTGCTCACATTGTCGTGAAAGTTTCAAGACCTGTAGAGTTAAAGTGAAAACTTCAGTAATTTTATCTTACACTCTTTCATAAACTATGCAATTAAACCCTTTATTAAAAGCTATGTAATTCTTGCTTTGAGAAGTGATACCCTTAAACTACAAGAAACAGAATCCACATGGATGTCATTGCCTTACTAGAGATCTTCTCAAACTGATTTGAAGTTGAACAACCAAGCCTCCACTGTTGTCTAATCACAACGTGATGATGACCATGAGTTTTTCAAGGCTAAGCCACAGTGGAACCTCTGGCAAATTCTGCCAAGTTCTATAGGCTTTGATTTTGAGCCCAATGATTAAATCTGTATATGTTATTCAGGGGCCAGCCTGGCTAAGTTCAGAGAGTCTCATCAGCTAAACTACTCATTAGGTAATGTAATTTTGGCCACAGAAACATATAAAGACTCTCTATTAAGTCTAATAGGCTTTGCAGTCTGTACTGGGGAGAGGAAATGTCTACAGCTATGAAATCACAGCTTTTTAAAGTATTGATATATACAAACAGACCAGCTCTTAGAACTGCTTGGCTTCTAGGAGAAGTGTGTAGAGAAGTGGACCAACTGAAAATTTTAAGAGCTCTATATTCTGCTCTTAAGTCATTCAAGATGACTTCCAGTAAGTTCTACAATGTTCTAGGTCTTGATGTAAACAGCACAATGTCATCCACAAAGGGAAATATCTGGATGAATTTACCATCCACAAGAATCCTTCTTCAACTTGACTCTACTAGATTCACCTCCTTCACAGTATACTTCTGGGTCACATGACCATTAAGATAGATGACTTCCCACTTCCCACTAACTCTTAGAAAAAAAAAAGAGGAATTATGCACCAGAGAATGAGAAATTACAGCTGTCTCCACAGGACAGGAAAGCAAGAAGTCCAAGTAAGTAACAGCATTACAAATTAATAGTGGGTAATGTTATTCCATAGCACTCACTCAGAACCCCTTCTCCACCAGCCTCCACACTCTGGTGGGGTGCACAAACCAACCTACTTCGTTGTACTTTGGGACCAGCTTAAGAATTCCCCTCCTTCTAAAATCTCTGCTAGCACATAGTGCCCCTAACTTTCCCCTAGTGTTCTGTTATAACAGATGGAGAAATTCAGTTCTACCCAGCCACATGTGCAGGAGGAGATATATAAGAGGGAAGGACTAGATTCTGCCTGGGGTGCCCCCTAGGTTAGGAAACCTCAAGATGAGAGATACTCTGCCCAGAATACCCACCCCCAAGCCTGCAGAAAATAGTAGACATTGACTAAGCCAAGCCAGAGAAGTAAAAAAAAAACAAAAACAGAAGAAACCAGGGCAGGGGCCCATTCTGTGAGGCTTTACTGGGCCTAAGGGAAATGGGAGTGGCATCCAGATGGGATCAGTCCTGTCCCCCCAGGAGTTACTTGGGGCACAGACTGAGGCCATTGAAAAGTGAATTTCCCAATGTGGGAGGAAGTTGAGATAGCTTTGAGGTCCAACCCTGAGAAGTAAACCCACTATCAAAGAGGAAAGAGTCAGAAAGTGAGCAGTAGGGAAAGATAAAGGGGAAAAGACTAAAACTATGAAAGATCATAGAAGGGAGAAAAGTCAGTTAAAAACCTAGAGCAAACAGATAAATCAACAGGGCAGATATGAAAATCAAAAGGAAGATGACTACCACGATATCTAAGAGGGCAAATACCTCTTAACAAATATTGCAAGGCAAAGAAAATGAAACCAATACTTGAAACACAAAACCCCATCAATTCCCAAGTGAGTATGGAACCCCAGCAAGAATTTCCAGAATGGTTCAAGACAGAAATAAGAACCTTGAGAGAAGAATTTAGATGGGAGCAAATGGCAGAATTTATAGTCTGTATAGCAGAAAAAATTAGTAGAACAGCAAAAAACTTAAATATACAATGGGGAGCATCTCCAAAGAAGATGTAAAGCAGTACTAAAATAACACTGAAAAGAACCTATAAGATCTTTACACAAGCAAAGCACATTGATCTTGAAGTCAGTATGTAAAGAGACAACTTAAGGATCACATATCTCCCAGAAGAATATGGCAAGTCAAGAAATTTGAACACCATGATGCAAGAAATATTATAGGAAAGCTGACTATAGCTATTGAATACAGAAAAAAGCATTAACCAAAAGAATCCACAAATTGCTTTCAGGGGAAAAAATCCTTTAAACTCCAAGAAACATAGTGAAATTTAACAATTCTAATGACAAACAACAAATTTTTTATGCTATCAAGAAAAAACCCTTCAAATTTAATAAAACATAAATTCAAATAACACAAGACTATTTTGCACCTACCAAAAACTTCAGAAGGGAATGGAATTACACAGCCTGAAAAGCAAAAAAAGCCTAAAATGCAAAATTGAGTGTAATCATCAATGAAAAAAGAGGCACTTGAAGCATTCCTCCTCCAATACAGTGGCAAAGACTTGTGATGAGTATGCTTCCCTGCTTTATCTGATTATTTATGTTCAGAAAGAGTTTGGCCTGATGGTCCACACAGGAAAAATTAAGTGGATGAAGAATGTCTGTTGTCCAGATTATGACAATGCAATTTAGATGGATAATTTTCCATCAGCAAATATGCATATACAGGTACCCTGTAATTTTCAGGAGAAAGTGAAGCTGTTCTCAAGCATGCTGAGTAGAGAATTTCCACATCCCTGGGGAGAATTCATGGGGTCACATAAGGACGAGCAGGCATGGATGAGTTCTGATTTGTACTACGCAAAGAACTTTCCAAATCTATGAGATCAGAGACCCATTTGATCATTTAAGAACTCTTTGCTTTTAAGGGCAGCTAGGTGATAGAGGAGACAGAGTACCAGGCCTCTGAGTTCAAATCTGGCTCAGACACTTACTAGTGGTGTGACCCTGGACAAATCATTTAACCTCGTTTGACTCAGTTTCCTCATCTGTAAAATGTATTGGAGAAGGAATTAACAAACCACTCTAGTATCTTTGTCAAGAAAACCCCACTGAAGTTGTGAAGAGTTGGACATAACGGAAAAACGACTGAACTGAAAAAATGTGCTTGAACTCACACCAGGAAAAAATAAACCAGCTTGCATGAAAGAGGATATGGAAAGATACTGAAATATACTTTATTCAACTGTGACTATGATTTTATCAATGTGAGAACTATCTTCAACAAGGTGAATCACAACTCTACTACACATTCTTATCTTTTCTGATTCTTCTCCATGTTTTCCCAAAAATTCTCAAAAAAGGATCACCTCTACAGGCTGGAGGCCTTTCAACATTTTGTAGGTACTAGTTAAATACTCAGCTGCCCCTTTGTTATCCTTCATTCTTGCTCCATGACGGGCCTACTTCCTTTTTCAATTAGACAGTATATTGTATGTTGTATTAAAAAGTACATAAGGCATCATTAGTAATGGGCCACATTATTGTGACCTAGTCTACTACGAGTATCAAATGAAATAATATTTGTGAAGTGCTTAGCAAGGTGTCTGGCATTTGGTAGGTGCTTAATAAATGCTTGTCTTCTTCCTTCCCTATTTAGACTCACCATATGTCTTCCTTTGCCCTTTGCATTTGAATTTTCATTTTCCACACATTATGATATTCCACAATTCACAGTTATATAAAGTCACAGGAAGATGACTGGTGTTTAAAATAGGGGGTTTTGTAGGGGCTCCACATTTATAGAGAATCTCTCATTCAGATTCTACTGTATAGGACATTTTCCATGATAGTGGTGAACACTTTTGGCAAATTAATAGTCTTCTGTGTCATGCCTCACTTGATAACAATAGTTAAGAGTGTGAATGAACAAAGTCATTTCTGCGATTACATCAAGTGCTCTCGTATTATTTTAATATATGTGTGAGAGACATCTTGCTGGAAGAAATCTGGCTGAGGTTTTCTTTATGAGTCAAATGCTTATTTGTAATTTTGTAATTACTGAAAAATAAATCAAAACATGTCTCTCAGTTAATTGTGTAACTATGAAGATGTGAGCGGCTGGAGAAAACCAGAAAAGCTGAAAATTAGAAAAGCCTACTTGTACAGTTCTAATTTTTTCATCAAGAATAACCAATATATTTGCTATCCAAGGATATCATCACATTTTCAAAGAAAGAGATGAAAAAATAGGAACATGAGGTGATAGTTGCTGATGTCCCCTCAATTATTTGTGAAGGCAGCACAGTATCACAGTGGATAGAGCACTGGATGCTCAGGAATTTTGAATCCCACTTCAGCTACTTGCAAAGTGCTTTTCAAATCTTAAATTACTATGCAAATGTGAACTATTACTATGATTTCTCTGGTAACAAGAATGCCATCCATGACTTTTTCTTATTCTTTTTTGTAACCACTCCTTCAGGTATTTTGATAATCAAACCTACAGAACTTTCGAAATTACATCTGCTTCAGCATGTTTTCTTCTGGGAATTCTTGGGCTGGTCCACCTGCTCTTCCCAACTTCATCTCATGTGCCATTCCCACTTCCTCAGAAAATACAGAGTACTAAGGTATTGGAGTTCAAACTCAGTATTAGTTACATTGTCATCAATGAATTAATCAATGAACAGATTACTATAGAAAGCTGGCTACTCTGTGCCATTTTCTGTCCACTTGCTACCCTCCCAGTAACTTAATCTATAAATGCTCTTTGCATGCTCTGGTTTAGTTAAGTTTCACACCCTGCTTTCTATTTACTTATTTTCCCCTTGTGCTTTGTGCTTGGGGGAGGGGGGAGTGCTATAGGTATCTACCATCTTCTTCAAAATGTTCAAGAATGTCAACAAAGCCCTGCCTTCCCCAACTAGCTCATACAAATCAATCTGCTCTGCTACTACGCTCCTTGCCTACCTGGGCTGAAATCCCATGTCTTAGAGTCCTTTCTCTTAGTTGAGGACAAAAAAAGATTAGGGAGCATGGAGAATAACAGAAAATAACTATTAAAGTGTGTTGCTATCAGAGAAGGGAGAAGAATAGAAGAAGAAGGGAGGCCTCTCCATGATGACTTCAGCATAGATTAGTTAAGCAGGTTATCTAGCTGTCACTTTAGAAACAAAGACTATGGAACTCGGAGGAGGATGGGCAGTTAAGTATGCTTTGGTGGGAGGGAGGAAAGGTTCAGAGCACGGGATGTTGTCTGACTTGGTCAGCCTGGATACAAGCATCACAGCAGTAGGCTTGGATTAGCTGGGGCCATCATTTATTCAACATACATTTATTAAGTGCTGAGCTATCTGTTAGATGTTGGGAGAAATCTAGTTTAGCAAAGACAGGGTCCCTGCTTTCCTGGGGCTCTTCCAGTTTTATAGCTCCATGAGGTTCCCTAAAGTCAGGGTGTAGGCTGGCATCTACAAGCTATGCCTCCATGACAGCTTTACCTATACTTGGCCAAATAGAACAGAAAAGTATGGGTCTGACTGTAGACAGTCTTTGGAGGTTATGATCTTTCAGATCTGCTTTTGCTGAGAAGCAGGAGGATGATGGGAACTATCGAGATCTGAATGTTTTCAACCAAAATGACAGGAATGAAAAGAATTTTGTTCTTAAGAAATGTCTTGGCTTCAAGTTCAGAGTTTTATTTTTGTTTTTGTTTTGTAGGATTATGTTTTATTTAGTATCTTTAGTTTTCAATGATAGTAGCAAAATGTTCACTATAACAAGAACCTTTTTCTGTCATATCCACTTGTATGTAGCACATGGATATTTAATGGGTAACTAAACTACATTAGGAAATTAAGAACAAAACTCTGTGAAGAGTATAAAACTTCAGAACACATTGTTTTGCTCACTAAATAAAAGGCAATCCTACAAAAAAAAAAAAACCATAACCCCTGAAATCACACTGTGAAATCAGCTTTTAACAAGGACCTGGCTCTGGCTCTGTTCCTAGAGCCATTCTTTAACTTAAAGAAGAAACTTGGGCACAGCCATACACTTAGACATTTCCCAATTACCTTGTGCCTTTAACCTGAACCTTTTAAACTAGAGATATTTAAGATATTCTTTTAAATTAGTAATCTTCTCAAAATGAGTTCAGTGGGGAACTAATCTGAGATCAAGATTTTTTAGGGATTCAACCTTCATCATGAGTATAGATTGAATCTTGAGTTTTATAGTGAAAAATTCAAATGGACATATCCTAAAATATACAACACATTATCTCAACACCCTTCCTCATGCTTGCAGACTGTTTTGATTTCTAAACTAAATCTCATTTGCTGAAATTTAAACTTGAAGCCCTGAGAAGCCAGGGGGACTGGGACTTGAACCTAGGATAAGTTTTGGACTTGGAAGTGGAACTGTGATCTATAGGAACTGAGGTGGTCAAACAGGAAGGGATTATGCCTACTACCTGTTGGGAAAGTAAGTTTGTATATCTTTTATTATACCTTTTGAAGTAAATATTTCTGTGTAAAAGCTAATCTGACTGTAAATGATTAAATGGAACTGAGGTGTAGGGAACTACCCCTTTCAATTGAGAGAATACCATGGGTAGAGATTGGAGCCATTTGCAGAGAGTCTACACACTCCCCTTACTTGTTTCAGAGAACTCTGGGGGTAGGGTGAAAATAAAATTTATCTGGTCTTCAAACAGTGTGGGCAGGGTAGTCTGTGCTACACTTATAAATGTTATATCCCACCCTCTCCCCAAGTAGAATACAGGTTCTTGAAAGCAGGGACACACATCCTCAGCACCTTAGCCCCTGATTGGAGAGGGGGGAGAGCAGACAGAGGAGAATTCCTCTCAGATCCTTCACCATTTAAGGAAGGTATCCAGGAATTCTGCTCATCATTTCCCACCTGGCTACTTTCCTGATTTCATCATCTCCAGAAACCCATCATTCTGCAAGATGAAATCAACTCAGAAACTCTCACCTCCTCAGATAAATTCCCACACTGGCTGGCTGGGCATCAGTACTTCATCATGCCAGTGACCTGCCTGCCTCCCCCTTGCCAGCTTCTTTTTATACGTTGTCTCCCCCATGTGATTGTAAACTCCTTGAGATCAGGGACCGTCTTACGCCTTTCTTTGTATCCCCAGAGCTTAATACACTGCTTGGCACACAGCAGGTGCTTAATAAATGTTTATTGACTATTGACTGTTATTATACTCCAAAGAAATGGAAATAAGGGGTTGTATGTCAAACAATGAGCATTTAAATACTTGTTTATTAGAGCTCACCTTTGTTTCTAAAAAAGCATTCTCTCTTTGTAGTACTTCATATGCTGTGAAAAAAAAATGTTTGTCTTCTCTTTCCCCTTGAAGACTTTGAATTTTATTAAAAAGATACAAAAGTTCTGACTTTGATCTTTCTAATTCCTGATTAAGAAATGAAAATAGTAGAATAAAATAAGACTATTTCCCCACATGTAATATATAAGGTTTTCTAAAATAGAATTCTTAAAATTATCCCAATCAGAGATTTATTATCCTTCCAACACATTTTACTGGCAAAGCCCTCTCTTAATCACTGGTTCAAGAATCACTTAAAATCAATGATTAAAACTGCTATTTTCACAAGTTTTCAAAACTCATAAATTATAGAAAAGATTGTCTGAAGCCTTGGATATGTTATTAATTTTTCTACTATCCCAAAATAACTTAACAAAACATTTTAACTCACTTAACTGTCAGAATTTAGTCAAAATCCCCTGGTAATTCTTTCCATTCAGGTGTTTCATTATGGTCCCCTATTTCTATGGTGATACAACAAATAATATGATGCTTGACAGGTGGGGTGGATGGGTAATGGGAGGGTCAGTCTGGGGTACCAACTTTATGGTGGGGGTAGAGCTTAAGAAAATAATAAAGCTGATTAAAATCACGTATCAGAGTATCAGAACTTCACGAGCATATACAATGTATACTTCTGAGGCAGAAATTTTTAATTTCTCTGAAATTCTGAGATCAGTGAGTAGTGCTGGGGCAAACTGTAGGAGGTGGTGTGGCAGCAGCTCTATTAGCACTATATCTATAGACCCCAGGTGGGAAGATGCATCTGGGGCTATCATCCCGAAATCAGTCAGGTTTGGCTTCAAAAGAAACTTCTCAGACCCTGACTTAAATGAAGCCATTTCCTGGCTTTTCCTCAAATGCAGATCATTCATCCTGACAGACTTTTCCAAGATGGCAGGACAAGATGCTAAAAAAAGAGGAGTAGACCCATTAATACAGGACAGTTGGCAACATCAATACATTACAATAATAATTAAGTGCGTGCCACCCAACGGACTGTTGTGCAGCTGTGCAAGTTAGGGAACTAAGCTAAAGAATACTGGATCCAGTCCACTGTTATTACTAACAATTTATGTTCTATATACTTCTCATTTTATGATTCACTCAAGAGAAATAAAAGTGAATTTTCTAAGCAAGAAAAAGTAACACCTCCAATAATGTACTTAATGACAAAATACCTGACTTTCAGCCTGCAAAAGCTTCTGTGCCTTTTTAAGGTCAGATGACAATTGTTTTCTCCATGCTTTTTCTTCTGATAACTTACTTTGAAGTACTTCAATTTCCTCTTGGTTCATTATCACTATCTGTAAAAATGATCTTTCATTATAAATTCTATCCACAAAACAAAAGTTTCTTCCAAAAAACTCTGAAGATAAACACATACTACCTAAGCTTCAAAATCAGCTGATGAAGAAAAAACTGGATTATACTACCCAAGTTTATTTGTATCATAAAACCAAATTAATTTACAATTTTTAAAAAATGGCCAAGTGGACCTAATTTTTTTGCATCAGAAGAGCACAACATTCTCTCCCCAACTAGAAAAGCTACTTGGGGAAATAATTAATATTAAATGACTCCTCCATGTATACAGAATAAGAGCAAAGGGAATCAGAGAGGCCTAGAGTATGTTTTCATTAAAGTCAAAGAGCCAATGAAAGCACCGTCTCCATGCCCAAGTACACAGCTGTCAAGTAAATCAAACAGCACAGGCAGGTGCCAGGACACAACAACAAACTCTGATGTTCCACCTTTTTCTGGACTCCATTGAAACCCAGCCCTGCCATTTCTTTAAGTGCACCCCACTGGGACACCTCCAAACCCCCCTCTGTTAGGGAAGTACCTTTCCAATGAGCTGTCCTCCAGAGAGACAGCATTCTATAGGGAGCAATTTCACCCACGGTTGGTGAATTGCTGACTGACGGGCATTGTCCTGTTTTTCTTTCTCCTAACTTCTGATCTTCAGCCTGGGATCAAACCTTTGCAGTTCTTACCTCTTGGAAGTCTTCTGCTTTTGTAACAGTTTCTTGGCTTTTCATAACAGTTTCTCTTTTGCCTTCTTGTATTTTGGATAACTCAGTCTCTGAGCTGGAGATCTTCACCCAAATAAATCATAGGTAGAAATATGTTTGTCATTTAAATTCCATAAATGGTATTGTAGCACACACTAAATTCCAACTCTGAGAAAATGATGCAGGATCCACAGCTACATCCATTCTCTCACTACTGACTGATCTTAGGCTGCTCCACAGAGATTCTTTCCTACTAACAAACCCCATCGGCTACTTGGCTTTGGGTCCTTGACTGATGTGCTCTGAGGCCCAGACTGCTCATCATCTGGGACCCAAAGGGAAGGAGTGGGACAGGATCATCAGTGAAGCACGACAACAACATAGGATATCATCAGTATAAGTATAACATCTTTGCATTCTAATCCCCACTCTGACTTTGGCTGCTTTTTCTCTGAATCTCATGTTCAGCAGCAATACTTCCTTCAAGGATCCGTGATTTCACCAGTGTGGACACGCAGATTACAAACCCTCCATGCCTTAGTAGAGGGTCTTCACGAGTTGCTGTGGCCAAAACAATCCTCCACCTGGTGGCCACCCTTCTGGTGATAAGCCTCTCTGAACCTTAGCTAGGATGGCTCTCAGACAAAAGACACAGTCCTCCAGGCCCATATACAGAGTCTCTCCAGCTTGATAGGGCCTGTCACAGTTCGTAATCTACTGGAATAGCCTTCAAGACCCCCAGGTCACTTCCATAAGGCATCAGACTAGGACTTTAGCAGTGATTCAGCATTAATAAAATAGGGGGGAAAATTCTCAGTGGATGAATGAGGACATGTGGAAAAGTCAATGCCCAAAAAATACTATTTTAAAAACTGTTACTAAAAGTATAAAGTATAAAAGTAATATAAAAATTATATAAAGTATAAATATAAAAGCTACAAATGTTAAAATCTTATTATCTTATAATAGTCAATGGTACAGCCAAGAGGCCCATTTAGAAATATTACTGATGTCTTATGTATACTGCACAATTAGTTTGATACTTAAGAGGATATATTTTCATTGTGACAACTTTTCCCCCATATTAGATAGCAGAGGTACTGGGAGATGTCTCTGCATATCTACAGTGTGGTATAAATGGATTCTAATTTCAGCTCTGGCATTAACTTACTGTGTAACCTCAGGTGATTCATTTATATTCTCTGAGCCTCAGTTTCCTCATCTCTTTAACAAGAGAATTCAATTAGATGGCCTCTAAGGGACTTTTCAGTTCTAATTATCTAGGTTCTTTAGACCTAGTTTCTGCTCCATCCTGACCACACTCTGTATCAGGGGTGGGGAATCTCTGACCTCAAGGCCACATGTGGCCCTCTAAGTCTTCAGGTTCGGCGCTTTGACTGAATCCAAACTTCACAGAACAAATCCCCTTAATAAAAGGATTTGTTCTGTAAAACTTGGACTCAGTCAAAAGGCTGCACCCGAGGACCTAGAAGGCCAGACTTGGCCTCAAGGCCACAGGTTCCCCACCCCTGCTTAGATATTCAGTGAATACCTATATTTACCTCAATCTCATCACTACACTGACTGAGACACATGGAGAATATATGGGGAAAAAACACTGACTTAAAATAGAAAAAATTTGAAAAAAAAAAGCTTATTCAACAGATGTCTTTGACACACCAAGAACAGGTGTATTTTAAGCAACTTCTACTTCAGGAAGACAAAGGATAAAGCAGGAGAATTTAGCAAAAGGGCAGCAAAGAATGGATAGCAGTGGATTATCATAATTTCTGAAGTAGAGCTGAAGGCAGCCCACCTCACCTTTCAGCAGAGCAAACAAAGTGGAGGGTCAGTGCCCTTACTGGGAAATTTGTCTCATCAGCTGGGGGTTGACACCAACGGCTCAAGAGAGAAGATAACAGCTCAGAATTCTATGCTCTGAATGTTCCACTCTCCTTCCTCACACACAGGAAGGAGAGTAGACCCCTATAGGGGCATTTATAAGGACTCTGGTGCTGCAAGATTGTTAAAGCTAAGACTTTCATCCCTACAACAAGAAACCCACATTTGAACAGCACCGTCAGATATAAGTATTAGATCTCTGATAAGTCTGACATCCAAAATCTATAAGAAACTGACACAAATAGATAAGAGACATTCACTCATAGAGAAGTGGTCAAAGGATTTGAACAACAGTTTTCAAATGAAACATAAATTATAAATAGCTACCTGAAAAAATGTTCAAAATCACAAATAACCTGAGGAAGGGATAAACACAACACTAAGATACCAAACCTTTATACTATGCTACATTACAAGCTACCAACGAAGCTAAAAAAAAATGAGAAAACTCATTGTTGGACTGGTTGTGGGCAGGCACACTGGTAGAGCTGTGAATTAGCTCATGTTTTCCAGAAAACAATTTGGAATTAAGCAAGAAAGGATGCTAAATTGTTGCTATTCTGACAAAGAAATATTACTATTGGGACCATATCCCAAGGAAATTTTTGACAGCTATTAATAAAAACAACCCACACATTTTGAAAAAGGTTCATGGATAATGAAAGAGAAAGAAACAAAATGCATGACCAACAATTTAGGAATTATGATTAAATTACTTGTATATGAACTCAATGAAGTCTAACTATTCTGTAAAGCAGAACTATTATGAAATAGTCTGAGTAGTATGGGAAGACACAGATGCAGAGTGAGGCCAAAGGAACAATACACACAATGACTGTAATAATATAATCAAAGGCAGCATGGAGAGGCAATCAAACTCTTGTCAAATTGATCAATTGGTAGAAACTTCCAAAATTAAAGGACTCATTCTTCCACTATGTTAATAATCCAGAACCAAAATGTTTTCTTGGAGAATGTTTTTTTAAAGGGGTTTGTGTGGTTATTAGGAAGTATCACATTAAGACAAAATGTATCAAATTATTTTCAAAATAAAAGCAGAAAAATACATAAATTTCAGCTCTCTAACTTTAGTGTTTGCCACTCAACTGCTCACAATTCCTTGAATTTCATACTTCTATTAAGTTCAAACCCAGGACAAATTCAGTGACTTGCCATTAGAGACTCAACATGACAGCAGTAAAATTGGAAACAAAATTTCAGAGTATCAGCCTTTGAGACAACGACAGAAGTTTGAACTGTGCAATGTACCAATCTGTCACAGATCTCAAATATGGTATCAAGGAGTACCTAGTATTACTCAAAGAAAATCACTCTATAGTCACGAGAGCTTTGCATGATGACTGGACAAATGGGTTAAGGACAGTCTCTGGAGCTAGTAAGAAATAGATTTTATAGACCTACGATGACCATAGATATGTGAGACTTATGCTACTTGTGTGCAAAGAAAAGTACTATGGGCTCATGTGAACTTTGGAACTCATCTGCATTTATTTCCTGTCTCTAGAACAAGACAGCAAGAACATAAGCCATATATTTGTGGTGACTCCATAAGATACGCACAGGCATACCTAAATAGGAATCAGAAAGCTTCCATGGTTGCTAAAGTACTATGGGAGAAGTATATTTGCCAGGATCCATTGAGACAAAGGCATTCCAACAGAAATGATGCTGCCAGCTTTGCACCCCACCTGCTGATGTGTGGGTTTTGGAGTTTCTGAGGATGGAGAGACTATAGTTATTCATAATAAGTATATCTCTTAACTGATCAGGAAGCTGAAGGAAGCTTATTACCTAGCTACAACATCGGCCCAGAAGAAGAAATAAATTACAATATAATGCCCCAAGTTGTCAAGACTTTGAACAAGGTGACAGAGTTTTGCTGAGACACAGAAGTTAACAGATCTTTGGAAAGCTCCATATCCACTTTAAAGAGACTGTGTAATTTGCCTTTTTACAAAATGGCCCCAGAGTCTGGTGAGGGCCTTGCAAAGACAATTCACCACAATCACCTACTACCAATTAATGAGTTAACTGGGCTCCCTGATCTGCTTCAACCAGGCAAAAAACCTCCAAGAAACATTTCACATGAAGATGTACTATAGCCCAACAAACAGTCCAAATAAAGGAAGAGGGCAAATCCAAGAGTCAATACCTTTTCTGCATAGTTCTTCAGCTATAGAGTCCCCTAAAATATAGATATACTTTTCAGTATATAGTAATACTCTCAGTCAGCCATGGCCCTCTACAAGTTCAGATTTAGATAGAGAAGACCATAATTCTGATGAGAATTATGATCAGCCCATACTATTAATTAGCATAGGTATCAGGTAGGAGAACAGGGAATAACTGATCAGTGACCAGATTAATTTATTATGTCCCAGGTGAAACTAATGAAACATTACAAAGGTAACCATACGATAAAGCTAATATTCACCCATGTAATAAGTGACATGCATGTAACTTCATATTATATTCATTAACGCACGTTAATAATTGTATATCTAAGTATGCTTTTATTATTTTCATAATCATGATAATGTGCTTTGCTTTGATATACTGTATATATTATAGCTATATTAATCTATTAATTATGCCTAGTTTTGTTGTTTATTTCTTCATGTTAATTTTTATATATTTTGTAGGTGGACTGATATTACTATTATAGACCTACTAATGTTGCTATTTCTTTAATTTTACTCAATTTTGATATATATATATATGTATATATGATACATGGATATCCACGTACTTCTGTGACATATGGATATGAAATATATCCTGAATGTAATTTGGACCTGTAGTCACTAAAGCAACCTGTTAAGTGATGTTTTGCATTGTGCTGTCTATTGCATGTTTTGATGATGGCACCCTGAGATGATTACCTGAGATGTTGAGTTAATCATCCTTATTCTATTGTATTTTCTGATGCTTTACTGTATAATTCCAAGTTCCAAATTTACTACAGCTATAGGAAGGGATTGTAAATCTTAAATCCTGGTGGAGAATGCAATAGTCAGAGAAAGGCTTGGACTGGCTATCCTGTGGGGGGTGAATACTTTGCTAAGGACCCTGGGAGTTGTCTTTTCATTGTCTCAGAAGAGACAGAACTCTCATGTAGTTGCATTTGGACCACGCAGGGTTATGCCAGCCTGGGAAGTATTTTAACTACTTGGAAGGAAGATAAGAGCATCAAGACAACAACAGATGGAAGATGTTTTCTGGGAGACTGACTCTAGTCCCTGTAGCAGCTGGAGCTTCTTTCTTTCCTTAGCTTGCTGCTCATCATATAAAGAAACCCGGCAGGGAATCCAAGAGCTATGCCTGTCCACTTAGAAAAGCTGCAGGGACCATAGTGTCCTACTGCTGCCTCTACAGAGTCAGCATTGTTTACTGCTAAGTGTTTCTTTGCTCCTTTAAATTTGCCAACTGGTTGCTTATATTCCAATGATGTCTTGCTAGATAAAGATAACTTTACTACATTCTGAATTAATCTTTGCTAGTATAGAAGGTGGATGAGGGGGAAAGTTGATAGGTAACTAGCTATACAGAATTTAATTGGCTGGAAAACATTTTAAAAGATCACCTGGGGGCTCAGAGCTTTTTATGAGTTTTTATTAATAATCTGTATTTCTAAGCTTTCTAATTCTGTAGAGGAAAGAAGCCATAAGAAACTAGTACCTTTGCCCTGGGCTAAAATCTCTTGAGCTAATTTCTTTGCCTTCTTGTTGACTGGAAATAGAGATAGAGACCTCCTAGATCACTTTGAATATGAAGACCTTTGGCCTTCTCTAGTTCTCTGCTCTACCCACGAGTGGGGGGGAAAGGGAATATAGGATACTTAAAGAGAAGGTCACCTCCTGAGACTGACACATCAGGAAGATTCATTTTCAGCCATCCTACCTACTCCCCAGGTCTCTACCTCCCCAAACCATCCCCCCACCCCCACCAAACAGAAGAGGGAAAAGTGCTCCTTGACTAACTTGCCTTTCACAGTGACATTTCCTGAGCAATGCTTTCTTTATTAATAAAATTTCCTTTTGATATATTAAGGCAGTGGGCTTGATGAGAATGGGATCTGGACCCCAAAAAGGAAAAACCCTGTACTTTCCCATAATCCTATCAACTAGCCTTTCATTATCACCTAAGCCCAATCTCCCAATTCTGTTACCTAGTAAATTGAGTATAGAATTGAACTACTTCTTTTGATTATGGGAACAGTGTAATAATTTATATTATGGAGTACAGGTTGAAGCATATTAATTTTTCACGTAATTTTCCATGGCTAATATAGAAATATGTTTTGTATGACTCACATGTATAATGAGCATCATATTGCTTGCCTTCTCAAAGGGTAGGGAAGGGGTACAGGGAGGGAGAAAATTTGGCACTCAAAAAATTTTTAATGAATGTTAAATAAATTACATATATACAGCACATATTGTCTTTTTTCCTTTTCTTCCCTGTGGTTGGGACACCAAAAGTCACCTAGCAGTTAGGAAGATAATGAGCTATGAGTATGATTACAGAATGGTTCTGTCTAGAGTACCCAGGTAGAAGAATACCAAATTGGTTGTGAGTATGCAAGGAAGAAAGAGGACACTTTCATGTTGAAGGCAAGAGGATACTCCAGGGAACCATGATTATAACCAAACATTCAGATAGGAGCCATAGGACAGGATAAGTTAATAGGCTATGGAATCCACCAATTTCTATTGATGGTTTGTTTTATATGCATATTTGATTACCTTATCCCCATATATTCTTTTGATATTTTTTTTCTTGTGAATAAACCTTAAATACACACACACACTTGTGTGGAGTGTATGGCAGTAGGGGGAATAAAAGAAAAGGGGGACAGGCACTAGTGGAAGGGCACCCAGGGATACGGCAAAAGGTAATGAAGAAGCAATTAATGATTAGGTACATTAGATCTCTGAACCCAATGGATCACAAAGGTCCTTGAAGACTTAATATTTTGAGCCCAAGTTTAAAGACTAGCAAGGTTTAGAACACATTAATTAAGAAGCCCTGGGCAAAATTCTCCTGGTTCCTATGAAGAAGCTCATTCCCTAAAAAGCTGAGGTCTTCAGCAGGCATTAAGACTACAGTGATCTTTCAGACAATGGTTATAGGAATACTGGGTCAACTGAAAATAATATGTGCATTTTTCTTCTTTTCTGACATACTTTCCTTTGAAGTTTTTCAATATGATATTCAAAATGTTTTCTCTCTTCCTTGGTTTGATTTTGAGTCTCTCCCAAAAGAAGTTCTAATTCTTCATTCCGTTCCACTAAATGTTCATGTTCCTGCTCAAGCTTCTGGAACTTGTGAAGAAGGTCTGTATGCTTGCACTTTTGATCTTCAATCATCTTTTTACATCTATAACAAAAATGGAGGGATCTAATACAGTTACACCAAGAACAAAGTAGCTTCATATGTAACACAAATGTTTAGTTTTTAATGCGATGATGTTAGTATGTGTTAAAGATAATGAAGGCATCCTCTCCACTTCCTGTAGGGAAATGACAATGAATCATTCTTTAAGTATACCTAAAATCATCCTACAGATTCGTTATTGATTATTACTGATGAATGGCTAGGTAATAGAAGTCTCAGTTGCCTTTTGTGTCCCTAGAGTCTCCAGAACCTTAGAATTTTAAATTCAGAGAGTAGTGGCCCAAGAAAGTCCATAATTGCGCCAAGTATGTGGGTTAGCTTGGAATCCTCCACAAGAGCCTCTGTAGTATTTACATACCAGATAAGAATTTAGGGTGGTCATCAGCTTAAACCATATGGGTAGCAGAAATCCACCATCTCCCCATTTGCCTTGCTTTCTTAGGTAGGTAGCTAATCATTAGCCAGTCATTTCAGATAGCAGGGTAGAATTGAACTGCCTAAAAGTCACAGGAACAAAAGCTAAGTAGCACAACTCAGAGGTAGCTCAAGTTGTACAAAGCTTCATCTATTCTGAGGAAGATAAGCTCAGAGCTATTCTGATGTCAATATTTTTAAATAAAAAAATTTCCATAAAAAATTCATTGCAAAAATTTGTTGCATCTTCTATTGAAAGTACCTCATAGCCTATTAATTAAATATATGGAAACATGGCATTGCTTTTTCCTACAGAATATTTGTGGTCATCTTCAGTAATGACAACATGACACCATATGTCAAAATGAGTCTTTGTCCAAATAGAGAAAGTGCAGATTGCCAAATGCACATCAAGTGACCTTTATTCCTAATCCAAGCTCTGAAACTTTTACATTCTACCAAGTGTTTAGTACATTTGCATAGTGCACTATGTGCACTAATATGTACACTCTTTCCAGTGTCTAGGATACAGCCATCACTCAGTGCATAACAGTGAATGCTAGCACCTAACTTCTATTCAATTCAAGTATCATTTACTGTATGTCTTCAATCTGCTAGTGTTCTTCAAAGTACAACACAACACCTAAATTACTACCAAATTATTTTTGACACTGGAGAAACTATGATCAGGAACAATAACATTGCAGTGAATTCATAACTATTGGTATACATTAGTTATCTGGTTACTGGTCATGTAAAGTATTTTTACCCAATATTAGTCATATAAATAGTAATCAATAAAGACTTGCTACTTATTGGCTTACTTATGGAAACTTTTAAATTCTAATCAATGGATGATTCTAATTAGGATGATATAGCAAGCCTAATATCCATATCTGCATATCCACATCTGTAGAATTTACCTTGTCATACATTTAGGCCATCTATCTGTCTGACAGTAAATTTGATTTCATGAGGGTTGGGGGCATATGTACACTTTACCTAAAAAACAAAATATTAGCATCTCTCTCCTAAAAAACAAAGCTAGAGTAACAGAGGTAGAGCACTAGATACCTAAGTGCTCCCCCAGAAGCCATGTGTACATTCCAGGGACAAAATGAGAAAAAAGGATAAGGGTATAAAGTACAGTGTGTTATGTGGTCAAGCTCAGCAAACAGTGCACTGTGGCAGTATTTTCACTGGATTCATTTGACATCATTAACACTTCTGATTCCTCAATGACTTTTTTGGTGAGGCAGTTGGGGTTAAGTGACTTGCTCAGGTTAAGTGACTTACTTGCACACAGTCAGTAAGTATCAAGTGTCTAAGGCAGGATTTGAACTCAGGTCTTCCTGACTCCAGAGCCAGTGCTTTATCCACTGCACCACCTAGCTGTGCCACCTAGCTGTACCACCTAGCTGCCCCACTTAATGACTTTTTGTTTCTGCTTACTGATACAGAATAAGCTCCTTACCCCCCAAAACTCACAGCTAAGCATTAGTGTAAAGAAAAGAGACTTTTTACAAACCAAGACAGTTTTAATTACCTCAGGACAAATTGGATCTGAAAAGATTACCTAGTTCAAACACAGGTCTTTGCCTTTAAGCAGGATCACCGTAAGCGTCTTGATCCCATGCAGGCTCAGGGACAAGTGAGCTCTTCGGTGACATTGCAGTGTAAAATGCACAGTCATGCCCACTCCTCTGCATTCAGACTTCCCTTTGCACTGGACTGCTTACAAGGCCTTTCTTGCCCAGTATGTGCTTCTCATCACCAGGTTCCTCTTAGTTCTACAAGGAACCTTACAGAATTTTATCTGAGAACAGCATATTCCATCCTCCTCTCTCCTTGTACAGCCACTGTTAACTTGTACTTAATAAAAGCTTGTGATCCAGACTTACTGCCCTTCATTTTTTCCTTCTTCATTAATATTAGCTGGAAATTGCTTATAATGACAGCTCATTTGTTTCACAGAAATTTCTCTCTAAGCCAATTAGTGGCTCCCCTTGTCCTAGCTTTTAATAACAAAGAAGCTTATTTTGACCCTAAAATTGTAAGCTATGGGACTTTTCCAAGAGAGATGCTATACTCATTTTAAAGACTTACAAGTAACAAAGACTTTTCCTTAATAGTCATTCCATTGTTTAACAAACCTAGTCCTCTCTGTGACCAAAATGAAACCAGTCATAGTCACTGGGGAGTCAATATGAGGGGCTCTTTCTGTTTTATTGTTTTTAGTTAAATTTCAGAAGATGGTGACAAATAAGAGAAAATAGATTTAAACTACAGCATGAGAATTTTTTAACCATGAAGAAAATAAAACATTAAAAAGATTACTAAGGAAAGCTGCACATTCTCCTCAGTAGGAAGGTCTTTGAAAATGGAAAATATTCTTATTTAAAGGCTCAGATGCCACCTACTTTGGAAGTAGAGAATTGGACTAGAATGATCTTTTCTAGGGCCATCTAGTCTCAGTATTTTATGAATGAGCTATGATTGATCTTTCAGTGAAATTAATGGGTAAGAGGATGGACCATGGCAGTACAGGACTCCACCTGCCGTCAAAGACAAGACATAATTACAAAGAAAGAAAACCATCTAAATAAGTCTGTAAGTGAGAAGGATTTTGTTATTCTTTTCAGATAATAGGTCCCAGGATCCATGGCCAAAATAGATAATATTTCCCATGAACTATGCGACTGTGCAGTAGAGATATAGGGATGACATAATGTATGCCTGCACTGTGCTAGGTCATGATGATATTGCTAAAGTTAACCTGTGAGGCTATTGTTGGCAATATGCCTTCTTTGTCTATTGCCCAAGTGGGCACAGGCCAGTGAGTGGGGAACCTATTCTGAGATTTGGGTAATGCATAGAGGAATGTATATACCTGCCTTGATCGGCCCCCAAGGCTTGAGAGGAATCTGTGTTTGCCTCAATTGGCCCCCCGTGAGCAGTATGATTAGGGAATGCTGCAGGCGTTGGTGCTCCCACTATCAGCAACCCTCTTGAGAAGATGAGAATAGAATAAAGTAAGCTTATTTAACCCCTCCAAAGCTGCCTTCCTGTCTTCCTGTCTCTGCAGATCAAGAGTGAACCTGTTAGAGGCTGGAGCCTAAAAAACCCCACTGCCTCCTGTGTTGTTACTTGTCCTTACAAAGCCATTATGGTATTCTCTCTTCCTGCGTGGGTCCTCCCTCACTTAACTACAATTCGTTTGCATGGCCTGGCATCACCTCCCTGCCGACATGGTCTTCTTCCAGAACAAAGGACAAACAAGAGCAATGCTACCGCTTTAACAGATAAGGATTAAAGGGGAACGTGGTTCCAGATGGGGTTTCAAACTCTCTCTTCTTCCAATAAGACAGTGTGGAGAGTCAGCAAGTCAAGGCAATGCTTGCTAGCAGACTGAGCCCAGGCCAGCCACGCAGGCTTTTCTCCTCAATGAACCTCAGCGCTGTAAAGGATCGGGGGTACTTGTGCTGCCTATTTTATAGGGATCATTGTAAGGAACGCGTCTGACAAACATGAAGCGTGAAATGAATTTGAGCCAATACTATTTTTCAAATTTTTAAAAACATCCATCTGAGGTGTTTTCAATGATAGGTCTGAACGATGATGCCTGCTCGTGAACGCAGCCCCTGACAAGCGCTGCAGTATGTGTATGATCGAATTGGGGACACATCTGGTCGCTCTGGGTATCATCTATAGTGTTCTTAAATGAGAGGTGGGAAGGCATGGAATTTGCGAGGGTGATTAGAGGTGTTACTCACTCATTTGGTCTAGGCACCGCAGACCCTCTGAGGGAGCAAGAAGAGGGGCCAAAGAGGTTACTCCCCCCCAACCATCCTCTTCCCCAGGAGTCGGTGATGGAGCAAAGGGAAATAAAGACAGCAGGAGTCCCCTCCCTTTGCGTGGCAGCAACATGGGATGGGGAAGAAAAAGCATGGCAGCAGTTTATGTTCATCTCCAATCACAAAGCTCACCTTTCATGGAATGTCTCATCATTGTTTTCATTTCTTTCTGCTTCGCAGTTGTCTTTGGACATTATTTCTTTCTTTTTGTCCTGCCAAATACATTTAAAATGACAAATAAGTTATGGAAGCACAAACTGTCATAAACACCAATCAATCGCCAAGCATCCAGAAAGTGTGTATGTGCAATGTGTAGGACACTCTGTTAGGTGCTAGAATGCAAAGGAAAAAAATGAAACAATCCCGGCCCTCGAGGAGCTTACATTTTATCAGATTACAGTCCATTCATAAATACACAGAATAAATACAAAATGAGGACTCTTTTTAATGTCTCACATCACTCTGTACAAGGACTTCACTTACTCACTCTCTTGACCACAAAGAATCGGGAAATCCTGTCAATAAAAGCTCTCCATGTTCATGTCCTCCCTGGATATTCTATAAAAAAAAAAATCTCATGCTGCATATAAATAATTCTATGTGTATTAAGTACAACTTTAAAGAAATGTATGTGATCATTAGCAAGCACCAGAAATCATTCATATATTATACTTTTCACAGTAGTCCCTCAGAGAGCTTACACCCAATTAATTCTACAATACTTCTAATATTCAAAATATTTTTTTTTGCAATACCTCAATGAATTTCCTTTAGAGAGCTTCACATATTCTTCTTTGTATGCTCAATGGTGAAAAACTTTGTCTTTTGAGGAGGGGTTTTTGGAACTAGCCAAAAGTCATTCATAACTAAATCAGATGAATAATCTGAGTAATACTGATTTTTTAAAAAAATAAACTAATTAAACTCGCTTTTATATGCTGCTAGTAAACAACCTCTGACAGCATCTCCAGCAGAGGAGTTTTAGCAAGTATGAGTGTTTTGAACACAACACTTGTTGGCCTTATAAGTTTTGTTTGTTTAAAAAAAACAACACAAAAGGCAGCAAGCAGGTTAATTACTTTATGGTTGCACCTAATATATACTAATTGACTTTACTAAGTATTGGGCAATTAGATGAAGAAAACATGGATTAAAGGTGAATAGATTTACTCTCTTTAAACCTGGACCAGCCCATGATACCTCACAGCACCTTCTCCCACTAGCAATACTTCCACCCCCTGGTCTCTTCCTTCTATCAGGGAGTTAGTTCCTTCCCAAATCTCCATCTGAGGAAGCACCCATGCCAGATATCATGCTCTCTTCAAACCAGGACTTGTCTACGATGCCTCAGACCACCCCATCAACTCCCTTCTATGTTTAGCACAATCTGTCCAAAACTGAACTTTCCCTCTAAACCAGGGATGAGGAACGTGTGGCCTCAAGGCTGCATGTGGTTCTCTAAATCCTCAAGTATGGCCGTTTGACTGACCTCACCCATGCTCTAAACCCCCTCTTCTTCCTAACGTCCCTCTTCTTATCGAGGGGAACACCATCCTCCCAGACATCCAAGCCTGAAACAGAGGTGTCATCCTCAACTGCCTGCTCTCTCACAGCTCCCCCTACCTACTCCACATCCAATCTGCTGTCAAGGCCTGCTACTTTACCTTCATGACCTCTCTGGCACACACCTCCTCTCCTCTGACACTGCTACTACCCTGGTGCAGGCCCTCCTCACCTCACACCTGGACTACTGCAATGGCTTTCGGGCTCCCCCACCTCCAGCCTATCTTCTACTCAGCCATCAAACAGATCTTTCTAAAGTACAAGTCTGACCATTGCCACTACGTGGCCTTCTCCCCCATTCAATAAACTCCAGGGGCTCTCTAACTCCTCCAGGATCAAATATAAAATCCTATTTGGCTTTTAAAGCCCTTCCTATCTTTCTAGGCTTCTCACACCTCCACCCCACCACCTAAGCTATGACCAATGACCCTGGCCTCCCTGCTGCTCCTTGCACACGGTATTCCATTGCCTATCACCAGCTGTCCCCAGGCCTAGAATGTTCTCCATCCTCAGCTCTGCCTCTTGGCAGCCTGGCTTCCTGAAGGAAGTCTCAACTAAGATCCAATCTTCTACAAGCCTTTCTCAATGCCCCTGAATTCTAGTGCCTTCCCTCTGCTGATTATTTCTAACTTATCTTATTAATAGCTTGTTTGTATACAGTAGTTGGCAAGTTGTCTCATTCTACTATGAGCTCCCTGAGGCCAGGGACTGTCTTTCTTTTTTACTTTATTTGTATTCCCAGGACATTACTTAGTGTATGGCACATAGTCATTGTTGTTCTTCATTCTCAAAGAGGACCAAAGTGACATCACCATGCTAGAATCAAGTTACAGTGTGTCTGACTGTGGCTGATCAGACCAGTATGAGCTCAGAACGCTCTACCACAGGTCAGGCACAAATAGTCCATGTGGACATGTGGGGTAGATTCTCTGAATTTGCACATCTCGCGTTTCTTTTGAGCTACTTCAATTCTGCTTTGCTCACAGAACGCAGCACCTTCTCTGATGAGGGCACACCGATGCTGGGTGGTCCTGTGCTGGTGTCTCCCACGTCACACAATCAATTCCAAAGTTCTTAAGAGAGACCTTGAAAGTGGCCTTATGTCGCTTCTTCTGACCTTGCCCTGCCTGAGTTCTCCGTAAGTCTTTTTGGCAAGTGTATGTTTTGCGTTTGAACAACGTGGCCAGCCCATTGAAGTTGTGCTCTCTGAAATAGAGAGTGCTTGGCAGTGTAGTTCGAGAAAGACCTCAGTGTTTGGTATCTTGTCCTGCTAGGCGATCTCCAGAATCTTCCTAAGACATCCTTGGACAGTACACTACCAAGGTAAGTCTCCATTTACTGTAACTGATGGTTCCACGTGGATGGTGTGGTGCTGGCTGGTGGAAAACCTTTGTTTTCTTGGTGTTGTCAGGCCAAAATCAGCACAAATACCAGAGAACGGATCCATACATTGTCGCATCTCAGCTTCAGAGGCTACATTAAGTGAACAATCATCTACAAACAGAAAATCACGCATCAACACTTCCTCCACTTTGGCCTTGGCTTGTGGCCTTTTCAAGGTGAAGAATTTACCATCAATGCAGTAGCTGACCTTGATGCTGTATTTATCCTCACTGAAGGCATTTGACAACATGACTGAAAACATCATGTTAAAAAGCATGGGAGCAAGTATACAGCCTTGTTTCACTCCACTGGTGATGAGGAAAGCACGACAGCATTGTCCATTACCCAGAACCCAGGCAAGCATGCTGTTATGAAATTGACATGCAACATTGATGAATTTCTCTGGACAACCAAATTTTGACATAATTTTCCGTAAGTCTTCACGACTGACAGTATCAAAGGCCTTGGTCAGATCTATAAAAGTTGTGTACAGATCTCTGTTCTGCTCCTGGCATTTCTCCTGGAGTTGTCAGGCAGCAAACACCCTATCAACTGTTTTGTTGGCCCTTTCTGAAGCCACATTAGCTCTCAGATAGACGACCATCTTCCAGGTGAAGGATCAGCCTATTAAGGAGGACTCTGGCAAGAATCTTGCTAGCAATGACTAAGAAAGAGACTCCCCTGTGATTGTCACAGGACAAATCTATTTCCTTTACCTTTACAGACATCATTGAACTCCTGGGGAATAATGTTCTCTTGCCATGTAACCCGGAAAATTTCAATCGGTTTTTATATGAGCAAAGGACCCCCTACCTACCTTGTAAATCTCAGCTGGAATAGAATAAGCACTAGGTGCTTTGCCTCACAAAAGGAGCTTAATGGCATTCAAAACCTCTTCTTCAATTGGAATTTCAGCTAGAGAGGGATTGACTGGTAAATAGTCAATGGATAAATGCTCTATGTAGTCAGGTAGGTAGCACATTGGATATAGATACGATCCAGAGTTAAGAACACCTGAGTTCAAGTTCAGCCTCAGATACTAGTTGTGTGACTTAAACTCTGCCTTAGTTTTCTCATCTGTAAAATGGGATGATATGTCACCTTCCTCCCACTGTGGTTGTGAGGACAACATGAGTTATTTATAAACCTTAAATACTATATATCTATCTGAAGGACCCAGAAGAGGTCTAACCATATCATTCACTCCCAGCCACTCAATAAACTCCAGAGGTTCCCTATTAGCTGTAAGATCACACATAAACATCTCTGTTTGGTATTTAAAGCTCTAAACAATCCAGGTTCTTCCTGCCTTTCTCCATGCTCTTTGCAGTCTAGCCATACTGGCATATCTGCTATTCCTCACATATAATATTGACTCCAGGAATCCCTGGTTTCCTTTGGGACTGAGGGAGGTCTTTCCTGGTCCGCCCAGCTTCTGGTTCCATCTCCTCCAGAGATGGCTACATGTGTATGTGTTGTCTTCTCCATTAGAATGTAAGCTCCTCAAGGGGAGGGACTAATTCTCTTGTTTTTGCCACCCTAATACTTGACATAGTACCTCACGCTATGGTCAGGGCAGCACTAATTAGAATATAATATTTTTTGCCTTTAAAAAAAACCTTTAGTATGTAATAGTCTTTTGCTGCAAATACTTGTTACATATCATTTGGAATTGATTTCACAAGATTTTGATACACATTTTTTTTCAGGTTTTTTAATTAAATCTCATTTTTTTCAATTATCTGCCTTTTCTCCCTTCTACACAACTGAAAAATAAAGAAAAACAAAGTCCTTATAACAAATATGGATTAACTAGGATATTAAAGGAGGAAGAAAAATGGCTACTGGTTGATAGTTGATAATAAGACTGGACAACTGGGTTCCAAGAGGCAAATTGATTATCTGCAGCAAATCAACCAAAGGAAGGCTCCAGAGCTTTGCAAAGACATGACTCCATTGTCTGGGATTCCTAGAAAGTGTCCTTGATATAGGTGAATCTCTTTGTTTTGGGCCTAATATTTTGTTGTTGTTGTTGTTAATAGTATTTTATTTTTTCCCCATTACATGTCAAGACAATTTTTAGCATTCATTTTTACAAGATTTTGAGTTCCAAATTTTTCTCTTCCTCCCCTCCCCTCTTCCTAAAATGGTAGGAAATTGGATATAGGTTATACATGCACTATTATGTAAAACATGGTTCCATATTAGTCACAGTTGTGAA